ACTGGTCAGCCATGATCTCATTGAATGGGGAAGCAAACTTAATGGGCTGAATGGACTACTCCTGCTGTTGAAACCTGGGGGCTAGTCTCCCGGCTATTCCCCAGATTTCGACAGCGCTTCACACTCTTTCTGAACAAATCTCTGTTTGTTGATGTTTTAAGTTGACCCTCAGACTCGACAGTTTTTCGAGTGGGGAGTCACTTGAGGATTTTCAACCCCAGCCACCCCTGTTGTACGTGTGAAGAAGCTCACCTCCGAACAAGCAGCTCCAATTTTAAAAAGGTTCCAGCCCCTTCTTATAGAATTATTGAGTCATAACGGGGTACAGCATGGAAACAGACCCTTCAATCCAACTGCTCTGAACTGACCACAGACATCCCAATGTGACCTGGTCCCGTTTGCCACCATTTGCCCCATTTCCCTCTTAACCCTTCCTATCCATGTCCCCATCCAGATGCCTTTTAAATGTTGTAATTGTACCAGCCTCCACCACTTCCTCTGGCAGCTCATTCCATACACGCACCACCCTCTGTGTGAAAAAGTTGCCCCAAAGGTCCCTTTTAAATCTTTCCCCTCTCACCTTAAACCTATGCCCCTCTAGTTTTAGACTCCCCTGCCCTGGGAAAACCCCCTTGGCTATTCACCCTCTCCATGCCCCTCATGATTTTATAAACCTCTATAAGGTCACCCCCTCAGCCTCCGACACTCCAGGGAAAATAGCCCCAGCCTCTCCCTATCGCTCAAACCCTCCGACCCTGGCAACATCCTTGTAAATCCCTACCAGTCAATATATACCCCCCTTGCCTTACCAGTCCTCTCAAAATGCATCACCACCACTTCTCAGGATTAAATTTAGCTTCCCACGGATCGACACATTTTTCCAGCCCAGCTATACCATCCTATAGCCTAAGGCTGTCCTCACCACTATTTGCCATACCGCCGAGGTATTCACTGGTCATAAACACAGACGGTTAAAGCCGCCTCATGTTTCACATTGCATTGAACGAAAGAGTTTCATCTATTCTCATGTTCAGGAACGTAGAGCAGTACGGCACAGCACAGGCCCTTCGG